GGAAACTAGAATTCAGAAACTAGAACGGGTCTGAATCGGATAGTTTCTGAATCGGGTCTGTGAAATACGAAGATGTCCACGCTACGTCAAGACAAACATTTGATTAGATCCCCACCCCGCCCCCCAGTTTCTGAATCGGATAGTTTCTGAATCGGCCAGTTTCTGAATCGAGTGAGTTTCTGAATCGGGACACCCTGTAGATTCTGAATCGGCCAGTTTCTGAATCGGGTGAGTTTCTGAATTGGGACACTCTGTAGTTTCAGAATCGCAAGTTTCTGAATCGTAGTTTCCGAATCGGAGCTGGTTTCTGAATCGTCTTCTGTTCTTGCAAATCATGCCAGCATAGAGACCCCAGACAGATAGCAAAAAACATTTGTGGGCAGCACCATAGCAGTGGCACCCGCAGTGGCGCCAACCCAGGCTCCACAGCGCACATGGCCATGCACATCTCTCCAAAAGTGAACACGGCATGGACAGCGACACCCCGCGGCACCACCAGCACCCAAGTTCCGAAGTGCATGCGGCCACACATCTGGCGGCAGCACCCTGGGGCGGCACCAGCACCCAGGCTCCAAAGTGCACACAGGCACCTCTTTCTACACTTGAAGTAAGAACCCCAATAGCTCTCGCTATCTGGGGAAAAGGACTAATTCCATCACGACATCTGGCCTGAACTTCCGCAAGCAGGGGGTACAGCAGCTGCAGGAACGTATCTGCAACGAGTTCTCAGACATGTTTCTTGTACATGTTTCTTGTTGGTACTTATAGAGTACCACTATACTCAAAAGAAAAAAGACGCCCTTCAACAGGCAAACATGTGTCTGTTCATACTTTCACACTGAGCTCTGCTCTGCAACCGCCACTTCTGAAGGTCAAATAGAAAACCTAGAGGCCGCTTGAAGGAGCGCTGCAGTCTGGTTTGCTTCTGGAGCTGGGAAAGAAAGCTGGCAATGAAGGTGCAGTCGGCTCAGCTAAGAACGGTGTCACCACCCCTCAGTGGAGCTGCTGCGGCATCCTCAGCACAGCCGAATACACTGAATACACTTTATTGAATTCAACCCAAGGTCCAGGCATTCTCGGTGCCTGGTGGTGGCTTTGTTGAGCCAGCTAAATAATTCGGGCCTAAGCACCCCAGAACACACGTTTCTATGGCCTACTCTAGTACCTCTTAACCCTGTACATCATGGTATTTGCCGTGACTCTTGAAAGTCTCCGACCAAAGATTGGTTGCTCAAACTTTGGCTTCCTCCGCCAAGCCAGCATATATTTATACAGATGTGTTTGACACCGATCCGGTCATGCCAAAGCAACACAAGAAAAGGCCTGAGCATCTGGAGAGGAATTGCAAAAGATCTGAAGTCTTGCCGGCACGACTTGTCCTCGAAGCACATGTACACAAGCTGTAAACAAAACAAACAGGGATCAAAGTAATGGCAAATGTCCTAATTGCTGGCTCGCACTACTTTCTCATAGATCTGAGTGCAGAGCTCCAGCCACAAAAACGATTCTTTTTGAGGATAGGAAGAAACAGCCCCTGGCGGCAGTTTCAGCACTAGTTTCAATGTGCTTCAAGGAGTGCCACAGGAGCTCTTAGGGCTCTCAGTGCTCGGACCGACTTAACACAAAATTGTTCCCTTAGTGACTCACAACTAGATACTTTTTTGACAATGACAAGCAACTCCAGCCTTCCCCAAAGCTTGCCGCCACTAGGCAATGTACATTCAAAATCAATGTTGTCCCTCTTCAACACGAATGCCTGCATTTGTTCCAACACGCGAATTGACACTCCCAAACAAATACACAAACAAAACGACAAAATGCATAAAACCGATGTGTGAGGCGTGTGCCTCCTGTAGTCAATGAGTTTGCACAGTGTGGGTCTACCCCGTGCCTCACCTTTCCAAACCTGTCAGTCCTTTCCTTGCAAGTGAGTCCTGCTTGGTTGGCATCGGCAGGGAGATGCGGCTAGCTGCACGGGCTCCAGTCTTGGTTTAGTTTACCATATTTAATCCATACTTTGCGGTCGGTCTCAGAAGGCGGCTTGAAAGCTCTTGGCCCAGCCCTCAACGTCTCCCAAGCCTGTTTCCAAGCCTGAGAAAGAAAGTTGATGCCACAAGACGTTACACCGAAGTACGCGGGAGCAGGATTGCTGAGCTTGCTCTCCTTCTCTCAATCAGTTAGGCGCTCACAGCATCCTGGGTCTGACAATGCAGTTCGCTTCATATGTCTTGGTGCAGAAGACACTGGTGGCAGCAGCCCATAACAGGGGATCTCGATCAGAGCAAATTGCAGGAAGGCCGGAACAACTCCGAATGTGTTCCAGAAGGTGAGCAACTCTGCAAGTCTGCAAACGCAAGTGTTGAGGAGTGGCAGTACCGGTACCACTGGCATACTTCCTCATAGTTTCCCGATCTCGCAGCGCCACGAAACACAGTTGGTGGCCACTGAGAGTCTGCACTGCTGCCGGACCTCTGGCAGATCCGCAGAAGCAAGTGACCGGAGATTCTTACTTTCACTGTGCGTCGCCGGCCATAGATCACAGTGAGTGTCACCAGAATGCGTCCTTATGATTATACCACATCACCAGAGCAAGGTCTTATCAGCTAGCCAGTCGACCGTGTTTGCGCAACATTGTCCATGTAATCTATAATGTCCACATATGACTCAGCTGCATTAACCACAATGGCAAGCACGCTTTCACACGGTTTACTCTTGTCTTCATTCATGTCTGATGGCTATAATTGCTCCTTACATTATCAATGTCAGAAGCAATTTAAGCTGGCAATGCTTTTGCCTCTCAGCGAGGTCAACAAAGACCACTGTTGTGAAATCCTTGCAGGGACTGATTCTACCAGGTTGTGCTCATGCCTTCGTGGCACAGGCATGCCTCGTTTAAGCTCATGGCCGGGTTAGCGACCCGATGGCCGAACGCAACTTTTCACGTTCTTGCTTTCAACTGATTAGGAGCAAAGGGCATCGCTGCTAGTAACAATGTTCGCTACTAGGGGCTTCTGGCATCGCTACTAGGAGCAAGGACGCTACTAGGAGCTCCTGGCCGTACTACTAGGAGCAAGTAGCTACTAGTTACTCAATAAATGGGGTGGGGTGGGGTTGACGTCACTTGTAGTTGCAGACGCTCTTGATGCTATGCAATGGACGGGGTGGTTGCGGTTGGGCCCTTATTAGAGCTATAGTAACTCTGGTGTTCTAGGTCTTTGATGTATTGAATTTTATCGATGTCGTGAGTTTTCGGTTGCTGAATGCCTGAAGTTTCTCGGCCGCAAAAGGTAACCTCACCTGAACCGTGGATACCTCTGTTACATTCCAAAAATAGATCGGACTACCAGGCGTGACAAGGAGAGTATGTCTGGTCGTTTGTGTTTAGAATGAATACAAGACCGAACTTGCTTGAGGACCTTGGCGAACTGGCCAAAAAGTAAACAGAGCATATTGAAAAATATGTTCGCTAGCTGCTCTTGAAAATATAGTTAAAAGAGGACTCTTGAAGACATCCCGACTGAGGACCTTTTTTAAGTCACCACGAACACTTGCGCTTTTCCTCCATCCTCCTCTGAACGTCCTTTTTCCTGCTCGCTGTTACAACCCCATGAGAAGAATGGAATATTTGCTAGACGCTATGATGACTCTGTTGTCCCAAAGCGACAACCCTTCCAGTGTTTTGTCTCTTGGCGGCATTCACAATGGTTCAACTTGCTCCGGGTCGCTATTGCGGCCGTTACTTCGTTTAAGGCTAAGGTCTTTTCCTGTGTCTCGTATTCCCTATCTCAGGTGTCAGGCAGCGGAAAGTTGAAGAGACTGATGCCCCCAACATGTCTGGCCTAAATGCTGTGAACCGTTGGAGGTGCACCACATCCAACTATATAAAAGTTCCAACTGCCTTTCAGTGACAGTGTACCAATCATGTACGCAAACACTCATTTTGGTCTCGTGAGGATTTCTCATGCCTGCTGAGCCTTGAATGACAAAGAGGCCAAAAACCAACAACTTCGATGGCACCCATGGCACTCATGGCACCCTTGCAGCAAACATGATACAATTCACGCTCACACACACACACACATGGTCTTCGTCCATTTCCCTTCAAAACCAAACAAACGACAAAAAGGGTGGAGGATTCCCAAATGTATTGGGATTGTGAGTCAAGAAAAGCTCGAAGCCACACATCAAGATGTTCCCAGCAGAGAGAGGGAACTGCAGCAGGCCATTACCCCCCGTGTTGGCAAGTCACAGTCTTACCAAAATTGACAAAGTTTGAAAGCCACACAAGCTACACAATTTTTAGCGCACCTCGCCCGCTTCTGGCATGGGGAAGAGTGATTGTGTAGCACCATCCTTCACCAGTGCTCAAGGTCGAAGGGACCAAAACACATGCAAAAAGAAACAAATTTCTCTACAGCCTGCGCCAGCAAAGGGTTCACTGCCATGGCTGGTGCAACAAGCTACCGTACAACGGGGTCAGCTGCTTCAGTGCGGTTCAGTTTACGATGCCCATGCTCTTGCTTTGCAAGGGATATTTTAAGTACTTTTAACTGCTATGGTATTGCTTTCACATGTCTTCCAATAGTCGCGGCTGACTCATCAGCAAACATCGGACCACCCCAACCCGCCGACCACTCTTGTCACACGTCAGCCTCATGATTGCATTCCAGAATGTTGCCAGTCTTCAAGCATTCTGGTTGCTTAGTTTCCATGTTGAGCCTAACTTCTTCTTCTTCTTCCACTTCTCCTTCTTCTTCTTCTCCTTCTTCTCCTTCTTATTCTCTTTCATCTTCTTCTTCCTCGCCTTGATCGTCTTGTCTTCCTCTTCTTCCTCTTCTTCCTCTTCTTCTTCCTCCTCCACTTCGCCCCAATTGACAAAAATATGCTGAAAAAAAAAGACGCAAAGTCTTGCACAGCCCTCCAATCGTCTTGGTTGATGCTAGCACACGCATCACACATCGATGGCGCAAACAGAGTGCGCACAATTGTTGTTGCAAGTTTCAGTCAATGACGGTACCAAACGCCGCCGTCAGAGCTTTCTGTAGCTCTTCAACTGCTTCTGCCTCGCTCGGGCTACACGTGGCATATTTGCATCAATTGCACCACCTCATTCCAACCAATGTCAGCTTTGGCCTGCCTCAGCCACGCAGCAACGGCGCAGCTCTCGAGCAGCTTCGTCTCGCTCCTCCCAAGCAGAGAGTGTTTGTTTGTATGTAAGTTTGAGGCAACTTCTGCACCTTCTGTACAATCTGAAGCTCTTGTGTGAAAGTTTCACACGCTACTTCCAACTCTTGTGCCCTCGCCTCAGCACACATCTAGAGAAGAACAAAAACATTGAAGAAATGAACAATTAAAAGAAGTGCCTATATAAAGAAAAGAAAAACATCGACTGCCACAGTTGCGAAGCTCAAAGATGCCAAAGCTGCAGGCCTTGCGGCAGTCGCGTTGAGTTCGGACCACCAAAGGCGCCGCCTTCCTCTTGTGAGCAGGATGGAAAAGGTACCATAACAACAATCAACAAAGAAAGAAGAAGGGGTATACCCTATTAAGGTTTGTATCAAACCAATCAAAACGATCAGAATCAAACCTCCAGAATCTTCGGTTGACTGTTGCACAGCACCAAACCAGTCCTCGCACCACACAAAGCAGGGAACATGTCCTGAGTTTGGTGGCAAGTGCCTGACCCAAAATCTGAAGCCTGTGCGTTTGCCTGGCCCCTTCCACTTTCACAACGGAAGATCTCCACTAAGTTTTTTGAGAAGCGGCAAAATCCCAAATGTTGCGAGCACAGCCATGCAATTGACTACACGGGGTGGGTATGATTGGATCTGGCACTGCCCACGACCATAGATGAAGTGAAAGTTGGAAAGCAAACAAGATTCATAGCGAGACAGTTGAGCTGAGGATGGATGGCAAAACAAATGCGGCAATCCAGGAACAGCAGTTTGTGTTGCGTGAGGTGACACAGCGCAAGGCAGCATAGCCGAGAATGGCAATGTGTGTGAAAAAGTATAGATTAAACTATATAGTACCTCCTAAATTGCTATTCGCGAAGTCAAGCCCTCGATTTGAGGGCGGGATTTTGATTGTTCCCCAAGCAGTTTACTGTTAGGGGCTTTCAAATCATTTTTAACATGTGTCCGCCCTTTCTGTCACTGCTGGTGTCCGCCATTGCAGCACTTCTATTCATTTGTCTTCCAGGTGATTTCCTAACTTTTGTCTCCCAGGTTCGGTGCCTGCACTGCTGGTGTCCGCCCTTTTCCGCTGGCCAT